CCCCCCCCCAGCCCTCTGTGCAAATAAGGAGAACGAAAAGACAGATTTCCCCTGCGTGCTGACACTGCCTCACTGAGACAGCCAGGATGGAGTCGGTGATGGAGTCAGATTGCTCTCCAGCATCCTGGGGAGCCGGTCTGCTCTGCCCCTGCTGCTGTGCTATCCTGCCTCTGGAAACACAGAGCATCACCCCAAGCTCCAGCAATGCTTCCTCTGTCCAGGCTCTCCTTGCATTACTTCCAGCATTCTGGCTGTCAGCTTCAGCACTCTCCCCACAAAATAATAATTGAGAGAAGTGCATTGCACTCAACAATAAACTCCTGCTGCTTCAGCCTGTAAGCTGACTGTCCACCACAATTAACATGATCACTTCTGCTGTGTGAATCAGATAACAAGAACAGAAAGCAAGCTGTGCTGTACCAACTGCATGTATGCTACATGGCATGTTCATGCCCTCTAACAGACACCTGCAATGCACAGTGCAAGTATTTACAGCGGCATCACACAGAAACAGGGGAGAAAGAAGGAACTGAACGCTCCCTGGGCTATGGGAAGTGGGGGCTGTCATGAAAGGGATGTGTCCTGCTCAGCCTCAGCCTGTGCAGATCAGGGAGGACAGCAGAACAACCTTGAATAGGGCTCAGGATTTAGCTCAGGGACACGGTGCTGGCTTTGCTGTGTTGAGCAGGCATGGATCTCATCCTGGACCAGCTCGGTTCTGTGAGCAGGACAACTACTTTCAGGGGTGTCAGCCCAGTGCTTTTCATGGAGATTGAATGTATGTACTGAGAAAGAAAGCAAGAAAACTATCAAATCAGATAGGGGAATGCCGTGGCACTGCTATGTGCCCCCCCTATCACTTTCCTTTGGAAATGGCTTAGCTTAGAAACTTCTACAAGTATAACAAAAAGGTACTCTAATTAACAGATGTGCAGGTCACACATATTATTAAGCAGCTCCAACAGACTAATGCGCAGTGTGTGTCTCAAGAGAATGAAAGACAAATGACTCTGTATACATGGTGCAAGGAAAGGAAAAAGAAAATGCACAGACTGAAAGAAAAATAACGCAGAAGCTCCAGATTCTGTCCACAGAACCAAGCTCTAGCTTTTGTTTGACATTCTCCTTCCCACCTGTATGTGAGCAGAAATCCTTCAGGCTCTGGGTAATCTTCACAACCTGTTCGGGGTGGGGATTGTGGTACACACACACTATGTTTGGCAAAAGGTGCCACAACCCACGTGCCGGGCTGCTGGGCTCTGCTGAAATGTCAGGCACCAAGATGAAGGGCACTCATTTGTGACAACTTAACGGCGCCGTTCCCGCTGCTCCTGATAAATGATGGAGCAAACAACAGCTCTCAGTGCCTCCTTCCAACAAGTCTACTATGCCAATTGAGCAAGAATTCAGCACCAGAGCAGAGGGAGCTGCCAGTGCTGGTTCAGCCTCAGCGCACACCTTCTGTTACTGGGAAGCAGGAGGAAGGGGCGAGCTCCTCTTTGGAAGCACCTGCTCCTTTGTTCACCTCTTTGCTGACCCTCTGCACCACAGCAGCCACGGTGCAGATTGCTAAAGCAGTAAATGAAATCACTATGAAAAAAGCCAAGCATCAGCTCTCTGCCTGTGTCAGGGAGCCATGCTCACCAGCTACCAGGTTTGTAAAGAGATGACCCTGCAGCTGAGCATGTAGGTACACACACACACACACACACACACACACACACAGAGCATATTTACTGGAGACATAAAAGATGGGGCTGAAGCACCACTGCTACGGAGAAGTGAAGAACAGGAAGGGGACATCTGCAGAGCACCAAGCTGGGTGGAAGAGATGGGAGGGAGACAAAAATAATTAAAGAAATGATAAAGTACGTTAGTGTGGATGTATTAATTACACAGTATGAAGTGAGATAAGGAAAAGGATTTGAATAAATGCTCGAAGGCCCATCCCAGCATTATTACACCGTAACACACATGCTGCTCGGCATCAGGAATGTGATACCATGAGCAACTCCATCCATTGCTCCATGGGGAAGAAAAGATGAAACGTTTTTACACTGAACTAAAGGTGAAAAGCATTCAAATTCCATAAGAAACTGCTAGGCTATATAATGAGCAGATTTGAAGCTACTTAGAGGAAACAGCATCAGAGAAGGATGTTCATCACTCTGGGCAGGCCACACAAATTAAGAGAAAGTAGAGCTGTGAATTACAATGAACAGAGACTAAATAGCTGCCTGTGTTGGATTAAAGGATTTAAATTGTCAGCTTGATGTATAATGAATGTGAAAACCCAGCACTTAATTAAATGGCACACGATAGAATAACTTTGTTATGCTTTAAACTGCTTAAGTTATCAAAGTATTCCTTATATTTAGCAATTGTTTAGCAGCATCTCTCCCTTGTGAGATCCACTAAGACAGTGGTCAATTACACACTGTTCAGCCTTGGCTAAAAAAAAAGAACAACACACTTTTCTTTTCTCCTTTCTCTTTTTTTGTTCCATAATCTGCGTTTTCAGTCACGGCTGGTGAATTTCCAGCAACACGAAGTTATGGGATGCTACTGAGACACAATGCCAAGAGGTGCAAGGAGCCCACCAGCAGCCCCTGCTACCGAACAGGCACGTGGGGCTGATGGATCCAGGCAGCTCCTTGCTCAGCCCAAAACGGCAGCAGGGTGATCCCAGAGCAGCTCCCTGCTGCCTTATTGCCAAGGCAGAAAGAAGACAGAAAATGCGTTCTACCATTGCGCCCCGGTACCAGGAACTGGTGCCATTTTTCAACCCCAAATCAGAGTTTTCAGCCAAACCTCACTGTGTTACTTGGTGCAGAGTGAGGATGGACAGCATGGAAATGGCACACATGGTGTGCAGGAGTGGCCAGGGAGGGACCAAAGCAAGGCTGAGGAGAGGGCTGCAGAATTGATTTTTTAGGAAGCCACACAGCATAGGAGAGCACACAAAGGTGAATTAAAGGAGGATAAGAGGATTGCTCCATCCCAGAAAAGGTGATGTCAAGAATCACAGCCACGCAGATCTCCAGTAAAACGTGTCTTTTTCTCATCTCACTCGATTTATCACATCCTCTTACATTCCCTGAGCCTTTGGCAACTTGAGTACAGGTCACACAATGGGATGATTTCCTTCACTCCTCTTTGGCCCAGCAAAACCTTTACAGCAGCAAATGGGCTCCATTGGTCCTCAGGCATGGGTAGGAGGAGTGACAAAGAGGATGGATCCTCCCTTCACATGGGGGCAATGAGGATGAGGGTTAAGGAGGTAACTCAGTGTTCCCAGGGAGATTGGGTGCACTCACATCAGGGTGTGTTACCAAAACCAGGCAGAAAAATAAACAAAGAAATACTTACAGCTACTGCTATTCTTCCCAGTACGTGCTCTGGAATTTTTCTATAAACATCCAAAGAACCCCCTGCAGGGACAAACAAAATGTGCTTAGGTAATACAAAATGAAATACTGCCCTAGATTTGAAGTCACAAGGGCTTTCTATGCCTTGGTTATTAATAAAAACACCATCAATGATATAACAATAACTGTGTCAGAAATAACTGACCTTACCAAACTTTGAATAATCACATGGAACAGTATTCGCTTCTCTTTTCACCCACGTTACTTATTTCTGTACGTAGCATTAATGCTAAAACACCTTTTGGAAAATCTCCCAGCCAAAGGACACAGTATTGAAACTGGAGAACTCAAAACCTCCGTGTAGGTTCTCAGGGACTGACAAAGCCATGGTAACAAGCCAAAGTGGATTTCAAAGCCAGCAGTATTCTGCCTGCCTCCAAAACCTGGTGCCAGCATAATGCAAAGCTCAAACCCATACTTAAAGTCAGCTTCTTTGTGTGACGATCAGAGCAGTGAGTTGGGCTGAGCCTTCCAAACTGCATCTGCACTGATGTCTAAAACATGAGGAACTCCTGGGCAAGCAAATAAGTTTTGCCAGAAAGCTCCAGTATGGGACACAATTTCGTACTTGGCACAGAAACATCCATCAGCATCAGACAGTTAAGGAGAAAGCAAGAAATCTAAGTCATAGTCCTAAAGAAATCCCCCAAAACTGAGAAAGGCTCTTTCCCGCAGCTTCCACGTAAATACAAGACCACACTTGCATTAACAACCTCTCTAGGACGAAATACAAACTCTTGGCTAAGGGAGCAAATCTAAAATTGAGAATTAAAAAAATCCAAGTAGAACAGGGAGAAGAAAAACAAAAAAAAAAGGATAAGCAAATTACATGCAGAATGTATTACACTTAGCTTGCAAGAATGCATAGGCTTATTCCAGGCTAAAGGTTCTCAGAAGTGCTTAGCACTGATCCAACTGCTCTCAGCGTACCCCACGGATTGCACTGATGTCACCAATGGGAAAAGACTTGGGCCAGCACTCAGCAGTTAGGAAAGCTGCACCTTGCACTTTGCTTATGGCTCCGTTTTTAGAAGTCAAACCCATTCATTCTTAAACACTGCAACATAAAGAAGTCACAAGGTCCTTATTCCAGCCTTCAGTCTTAACACTTTTTTATTCTAGTGATCTTTTTTCCCTTTTTACAAGTGAATGTAGATAGGGCAAACGGAATTAAGAGGCAGCAGCACCACAGCTGCTGTTGATTATGAGAGCCAAACAGAAGGCCATGCTCAGCACTAACAGCAACCACCTGACCTTATGACTTACCCTTCTGTTCTGGATTAAAAGACCTGCTCTCATACACCAAGCTGCTAAACGCTGCTGTTACGGGTGTTGCTAAGGGTGGTGCAGCAAGACAAGTTTGCAAACAGTTGGGGAAATGTGCTGCTTCTTTATGGAGAAAAAAATAACTGATAGTGAATAAACACTGTGGACCAAATTTCCAAACCCAAACCTTTGCACAGGTAACCAGGTGCAGTCTGCTGGCCTGCACGTCCCACTGCTTCTATGGGGACTTTAGCGGGTGCTCAGCACTTTAAAGGAAAAGAGGCAACGGCACAGGTAAAAGACAGCGGTGCATTTCAGCACCTTCATTCACAAGAACATCAGCTCTATTGCAGACAGAAAGATCAGAAAGCCTCATTTCGCATCTCCATTGATCTTTACCACGGCAGATGGAAGAGGAATCCAGGTCAGTTCAGGCTCTTGTCTTCACCTGCATCCTCACCCATCGCAATCGAAGGCTTGGGAAAGGAAAATAATTGGCAAGGTCCCTGTATTTGCATTTTGTTCTTCCTTTAAATGATTGCTGCCGCTTTCGGCCAGAAGGGGTGCACAACATGAGGCAGATCAGAGGTCATCTCCAGTATAATTCCAAATAATTTCTGCGTGGTCAGTAAACACCGCCGTCGTGCAACATCACAAGGGATGCAAGCCCTAAAGGCTTAAATATTTCCAAACAAGAATTCGGAACTGCAAGCATTTATGTCCATCATATTTAAGAGTCTCTGAATTAGCAGCACACACGCTCCAGGCAGACACATGCTCTGGCACGAGCAGCTGCTTCCTTCCTGTGTGTGATACTGCGTGCAAATCTTGCAGTCGCAAGAACAGAAAAGAGAAATGGTGAATGGTCACAGAGAACACCCACAGATTTAATTTGTAGGCTTTGGTGAATAAATATCCTACTTTTTCATCAAGCCCTGCAAATAGGGAAAATCTAAGAGAACAGAATGTTTGCAAAGGGGACACAGGACCCACTGGAACAGAGGCTGTAAATGCAAAGAGGGAAATAACAGTAGTAAGAGATCATTTTAACAGGAAGGAAACAAAATGCAGCATAAAACCCTACAGGGCCTTATCTGAGCTCCCCATCAGAAACACAGAAACTGCTCAACAGTGCTTAATGGCACACATTTGGCTTGGGAATTTTTTTTTCTTGTCAGATAGCCCTTCCTCTGTAGTAAATCATAGGCAAGATCCTCACTTCTTCATATGCAGTTTAACTGAACCTTCGTGCACAGCCTGGGTAGGGCAGCAAATGCCAGCTCGGGGCAAGGCCTGGAATAGCACACATAGGAACACAGCTGGGAGCAAAGCAGTGCAGCTCAGCACGCAGCAGGGCTGTGTCTGCCATGAGACGCTCTCAGGATTGGTACACAGAGGGCAGCAATGATTGCAAGCTGCCGTCAGCCATGGTGCTTCTTTGGTGCAAGAATGCAACGTTCCAAAGCACATCTCTGCAAGGATGCAGGGGCAAGCTGCAGGGAAGGGGATGGGAGAGAGGAGAGCACACTCACAAACAAACTTGGTGCAGCGCTGCTAAACAGCTGCGTTGGAAAATAATTCCTTGCTTTGCAATTAAGAACCGATTTCCACTGAAAACACACAGGACATTGGGTTAATAGATTTCTTTAAAAGAAAATCTGTTTTGGCTATCAAAACACTAAAAGTGAGGAACAGCTGTTTCGTCAGTGAGGACAGATTGTATGGAAGACTCAAATATCAAACCACAAATTAAGCCAGCATTTATTTCTCTTCTATTTACATTTTCAATAAAAGAAAGTGAAATTGCATTCAGGAAAATACAGCACAGCACAGAACACAGCACAAACCCCACAGTAACCCATTTAAAAAAAAACCCTACCTGCGAAGTTCTCAATATTTTACCTGATATTTCAAAGTCAAAACACTGCATCTCACTCCATATTGGGAAAGCACATCTATCTTTACATGATTTTTCATCTCGACATGCTTAGCAATTAAAAGCACACTCAATATATTTAGAAAAAAAACAACAAAACAACTCACCATCCATGAACTCTGTACACAAAGAGATTCTGTTTTCTACAAAAAAAGCCCCATAAAATCCTATGATATACGACGAGTCGCACTGGAAAAAGAAAGGCAAAAAGAAGCCTGTAACATTTTCTGTAGGACAACGATAAGCAAGAGCAATTCCAATGAGCACAAAAATCTGTACCTTATAGAGAATCTCCAACTCTGACATGATCTGTTTCTGGAGCTCTAGCGTTATATCCAAGGGTATGACCTGAAACACAGACATCAGGCACACATTCAGCTCCGCCGTGGAAGCGAAGGACTCGACACAAGAACAGAAGATGTGCATTGATGTGAGCAGAGGAATGGGAGGAAGCGGTGGAAGGACTGCTGTAACAGCCATGGGCAGCAAAAGGAAATGGAAGGACAGGAGTATTTACTTTGGGAAGTCGGTTACAAATGAACCAAGCTATGCAACCAATTTTATTCATGGAAAGTGGGGAGATTTGTGGTTTATCCATCTGACCAAGAGACGACCCAGAACTTGAAGTCAAGCCCAACATGCAATGCAAAGAGCAGGTATGGTGGGTTCATGGTCTGTGAACAGAGCCTGCAACTGATCCCCCCTGCTACAAACATGTTTGTAAGTAAATTCTGGAACGCTGTGACCTTGATGAAGGAGCTGATTTTAAGCAAGGGCCAAACAAGCACTGCAGTATCAAAGGCAGATCTCAATGTCTCAACAGTGCCCTGAAGGGGTGTCCAGAGCCACCTCCTGCAGCCACACTTACAGTTCCAGGTTTGCATTCACGCCTCTTTCTAACATAAATTCTCATCGTTGTATATTCATTCTTTTTTAATGAAACGTTAAAAAAATCAAATATACAGAATAAATGCAGATGGCAGCAGATGGCACAGATGCTTCCAGGTAAGCATCACTAAAGCATTCCTCAAAATGACTACAAACAGCCCAACTAAGCAGATCAAAGCAGCCATTCACTGCCAGGGTCATCTGCTCCCCCCATCCATGCCCTCACTTCTCATTGCTTCGAGGCTGACAGCAGGACCTTCCCAAACATGCACGCTCACTGCAGAGCAACGATAACCCATAAACCATAACTCTGTTATGACCTCATTTCTTCAATCTTTTCACCTCGATTTTTAAGAGAACAGTAAATGTTAAAAATAAGACCACAAAACTTTCTTCCACCTTCTCCAGAAGCCATCAGAGAAGACCAGTGCACCCTTGGCAGTACTGAGAAGCTGACTTTTAAAACCAATCTATTCCATGATTACAGGAGACTTGCAGACTTATTTCTCAAGTGCTACTATATAAATCAAAAGGACTCTGAATGCATTCAGCCAGGCTGGGACTCCTACCAGAGGATACTTCACAGCTACTTGTATTAAGCTCCAGGAAAACAAATTCAGTCCACTTGCAGAATTAACAGACGCAGGCTGCACATACTGCTGACAAAACCAAATGCGTGGAGAGCATTTCCAAACACACCTTACAGTATTCTAACAAAAAAAAACCAATATCCTGCTTCTATCAGGAGTTTGCTTTAGGGTTATTTATACAAGCTGTCACTAAACTAAATTGTAAGTGTAATACAGGGCTGCTGAGGAATGTTTAGCACACTTGTCTAGATCAATAATCATTTGCCAACAATATTCGCTTACATTTTTCCAGCGTGAAAAACCTAAAATAATTTGCTGGTATAGCACCAGTTTTACCCACTGAATACTAACAGAATTGAATCTATCCACTGTATAAAATCAGATTTTATCTCGCTGAATTCCACTCAGTGAGAGATTTCCCAGGCTCATTCACCGCCCCACATGACGACTGGTCAGCGTCACCAGCCTCCAACACATCACTGCAACACAGCAAAGCAAGACCTGGCGTGAAGGAAGGTCTCTGGCTGACTGCACTGATCATAATTACACCCAGAACCCGTGTGCTAATAGCGATGCTAATTTGGAGGAGTGGAGCTGCCAGCTTATGGTGTGATGGGCACCAGAGGGTAGAGCCCTACGGAAGCCTGCTGCGGTAGCCTGGAGGTGAACACCCCTGCAGAGCACACTGGGGAGTCCACTGCCTCCCTTTCTCCATGCAGTTACATGGAAGTGTTTTAGTCCACCCCAACACACGTGGTTTGCATGACTTAGAAAAGCAGAGAATCCACCTGATGGCAAGGTTGGAGGAATCTGAAGTTATCTGCACCACTGAAATGGGGGCAAAAAGAGGAAAAAAGTGCAATCTTCTACAATTGCAATCTTCACTGCCATTCTCTTTCTGCACCATTTCCAAACACGTCTAGAAAATGAAAAAAGACTCCTCAAACCCATCACTGCCAAGATAGAAGCCACAAATACTGATTTGGTTGCAACTCCCACCATCATAGCACAGGTAAGCAAATGAGGTGCAATGCTAAGCAAGTCTCTCAAACAGCACCTTCAGAAATAACCCTTCAGCAAAAAAGTGGTTTTCTCTGGATTACTGAGAGCAGAGGAGTGAAGCTGAGCTCACACAGAACCCCTCGCTGCAGGAGGAGCTGGGCTGGATGGGCCCTAACATGGGGGAACCCAACACAGCCCCCATTGCAAGTGAAAAGGGTTAACTCCCGCAGGAGGAATACCTGAACACGTTTCCTCTGCTCTCCACTACACCTCCAGGACAAATAAGGATGAGTTGTCAAGTTAAATACAAGCAGTCAAGTGACTGAATTATAATTTACTCCGTGCTCAATTTAAATTAGTGTGAGGCTATTAAAATATACAGTATAAATACGGCAATTCATCACAAGCTGTCATGGATGACTTCATCTATTTGCTGGAGTGGCATACGTTCCACTAAAGGGAACAAGAGCAAAATCACAGGTCAAATAAAGCTGCTATTCTGTTTTAATTCACTTATTTAATCTGTGGCGACATAATTGTCTTTTACAGTATGTACAACTCCAAGGAAACTTGGGAGTATTGTAGTCAGTATACAAATGATTAATCAAATGGTCCATTTAAATGCTAGCTTAAGAGCAGGAGAAGCTAAAAGCAGCTGAAGATCAGCAATCAGCCCACGCACACCCACATTTCTCCTTTGGATTTTTCCTACTCGCTACAGAGAGGTTGTGTTTGAAAATCTATGAAATAGTTTGCACGATGCCTACCTGTAAAGGATATGCAAACTACACAACGACAAAGATAGCTTTGATCTATAATATAGATATTAGCATGATTTTGGTCTATAATATAGATATTAGCATCGCTTTGTTTGCCTGTCCAATGTATTTGCAAGATTAACCAACAGCCTACAGGATTCTGATCAACAGGTCTCCAGGCTGGTGCCGTGTCCTGTCAGCTCTGTGCTGATCCTGGCACAGCTCTGCTCTTGTTGCTGGCTGTGCTGAGCCATGGATGCAATCGCTAAGTTTATTAATAGAGCAAATCAGCACGATCACTGCCATAGCAGGTTTCCTGACCTCCAGCCCGCGAGCATCTTCCTTCAACGATAAGAACAGACACTCTGCTGCAGTATTAACTCAAAAGCACAACTGGCAGTGATGGAACCACCACGGGCAGTACCTGCACACAGAACTCCACTTCCCAAATCTTCACGATGCTAATTAACCAGGAGGACCAACCCAACCCTTGGACTCAAAGGGAAACAAGAAGGTGAAATTGCGGGGGAAAGGTTTTTTTTTTTTTTTTTTTTTTTTTGCCACAGGGAGGTGATTTCAATTAACCTTGCAAAGGTTGAACTCATTTCCCCTCCTGCCAGCACCATTTTGCTCCCGCTCCTCCACCTCCCTGCAGCCGCCTCCAGGGCAGCCCCAGCACAGCCCACAGTGGGCAGTGGGGGCACAGGGGGACACCAGGGAAGCACAGCATCCGGGGGGTGAGCTTCCTCAGTTCTGCACTGGAATTTGTAACACAAGTATCACTGACAGCTAGATTTTCTGTACTTGTGTGCGTACTGCCTTTTGGAGAACTGGTATAACAGATGTCACTTGAAAGTCTTTGTAAGTGATCTTTACATTCTGTGCAATCAGAAGTTATTTAAATTGCAGTACCTGCATTTTCAACATGCAGAGAATGAGTTCAGACCTGGTAGTAAGGGTTTGCCTTTACTCAACTCATGGCAAAGTTGAAAGCAAAGGGCCTGATGTGATCCTCAAGAAAAAAGCAGCACCCAGGACTGACAGGACCTCCACAAGGACTGACATCAGTACCTTCTCTATAGCTTAACTGCATTAACAGTTCAATTCTAAGTCATGCAGAGGTTGGCAAACTGCAGTTGTTGTAGCATTACTGGTTTGCCACAGCTTTAACTGAACTTCAGAGAGGTCTGCTACTCACCTGACCAAACAATACCACCACAGTACACAGCTTTGCTGCTAAGAGCATAACAGGACAAATAGCTATAGGTAAATACACACATTCAGGGGAGAGGAAGAAAGTGACAATAAGTAAACCTGCTAAAGGCACAGAATCTCCCAGGAACACAGAGCACAATCCTTAAGAAAACAGACATCCTCTTCATTTAAAAATGAGGTTGCAGAGAGCGCTCAAGAAAACAGCCCTGGGGACACCGTGGCATTAGCAGAGCTGCAGTGCTGACACTCAGTGACCTCTGCAGCCCTTTCTGTTACACCTGAGGTGAGCAGACCCCTCCTAGCTGTGCCCACACCTCATGCAGCCCTGGGTTGGGGTACCCATGCAGAGCCAGGGCAGCTCTGCAGCCCCCACAGGGTGAGAGCGGGACCACGGAGTTCCTGCCGTCAGGATTCCTGTACTGCAGTCTGCCTGCATAAACAATGGGGATTGAATGCCACCAAGCAAACTGAGTGCTAACGATCAGAGGGAGGGGATGGAAACCCAGGTCAAGAAAGAATGGAGAGAAAGAGAGAGAGAGAAAATTACGGTAATATCTTACCTTTACTGCCAGGATTTTTCCACTAGGGACATGGTATGCCCTGCGTGAGGGAAAAAATTAAATAACTCAAGATGACATGAAATTATTTTCACACATACGTGCAACATGTATACGCTAATTTCACAGAAAAATGACTTGGAGCCAATACTCTTCCCTCTAAACCAATTTCCATAAAGCATTTCTCAAGACAGGCAGTGATGAACGCAATTGCTCTGCGGAACATACCTACAACGAAAGTGCTGAGTAGTTGTGTTTTGTTTGATATCTGCATGCTTTATATACCATCTATACATTGCAGACTTTGGCACAGCGTCACAGCAAGCTTGAATTGTGAATTTGTTCACTTTCTCATCTTCTCTCAATGACCAGCTGCAATATTGAGTATTCAGACCCGTAACAACCAGCAGGGCTGGCTGCACCCATCGCTGAGGGCCTTTCCAGGGTTCGGATGGTGAGATGCACAGCTGCATCACCACACTGATGTGAAGTGTCCAATTCTTTACCAAAACCTAAAGACCTGCAGAGGATGTGTGTGAAACGAACTTTCCATGTTCACAGTTATTAGCAGTAGTGACTCACATATTCCTCATCTAAGAAAGGTACAAGAAAAAAAAAAAAAAGTCCACTGAAAATCCAATGGAACTTTGCAGACGAGCAAAACTAACAAAGCTTTTCACCTTCACTGCCTTTATTGCCTCATACCATCTGCACGGTGCCCTAAATCTGAGTCATATCGTGTTAGGTATGCATTTGAGCACTGCATACCTCTAGCAATGATTACTGAAGAAAGAGCCTAATAGCCTTCTCCTACATACAAAGACACACGTGGTACAGAGCATTGGATCTCACTCATGACCCGGAGTGCTTACAGAATTACCATTAATAGCTCAGAAACTTCTGAACGTCACCTGTGATTCGGAACTCCTGGATAAATGCTGATGGAACTGAGGGCCATCAGCTTGTAGGAACACACGTGGTTTCTAAAGAGCATCAGAAATCAGCGTTACCAAATGTCAGCGTAAGCACAAACGGCAAAACCCTGGGTGGAGCCCTGAGAGCGGCGGCCGAGCGCATAATCGACGCATCAAGGGGAGGAAACGAGCTGTGCTGCGAGGATGGAGGAATCGACAGCAGCAAAACATGATGGACTTCAGATCGGCAGAAATGATAAGAAAATGAACAGGTTGAGATAGAGTGCTCAGCGTCTGCTGGCTTCATCCGCACTGCGCCGGGCAGTTTGGCAACTTAATTAGCTTGTCAAGAAAGCCGATCTTTTTTCCATAAGAGAGATCTCCTGTTTCCAAGTGAATTAAAAGGGAAGACTTGATTATTTAATTATGATGCACGCTAATTCATCCGTGGAAGTTTGGGTTAAATTTCCAGCAGAGGGCAGATACCTGGTTTGGTTTACAGAGCATTGACAGTACCAATTTAACATTTAATTATCACTGAGAATTGGATCACAAAGGAGATGCCATGCCCACGGGTACAGCGCGTCCGTTGGCTCTGCGAATGGCTGCTACCTGGGAGGAAGGGAATTTGTTTACTCTGGGCTGATACGGCATCTCAATTGTCCTGACCTTCCCCAACACAATAACTGCAAAGTGATTAATGGAGTCTGAATGGGAGCTTTGGTTACACCAAAAGACAACCGTACACCTCCGTAGTGTTTTAATTAACAGCTAGCACTTCAAATTAGTCTGTAGTTGCTGCAGTAATTACCTGTTCCAATGAGTGTGTAGGGAAAACGCTTTTGTTAGATATTATGTAGAACCGTAAGTTGGAATTGATCATTTTGGTTATAGTTGGAACAGCTGAAACCTGAAAACTGAGCACTTCTGCAGCTTCAGAAGGATGAAATGTAAAATCCCTCAGAACAATGCACACAGAATGAAGAGAACCACACTTTTTTTGTACATAGTGGGCCCATCAAAAATCCTACAGATGTCTGTTGTGAGAGCAAACTAACATTCATACTCTATAAATAACATGAAGTCTCATCTCAAGGGTCAACTCTTCCTGATTTCAGTGTCACCTCCTGAGGTAAGTAAACAAGCTCATCACTGTAGAGCCAGATCATTAGACAAAGCAGAACAGCACAATGCAGAGGTTTCCCAGCAGCGCTGCACATCCCAGTGAACACACTTGAAATCTTCAGGATGGAAGGCAAATGATGTCACCTAATAAACAGCTACAACAACTCCTCTTGCTAGGAACGAGCAGAGCCTAACAGCCAAGACAAGTGGGAGATAGAGATGAGGGAAAACAGTTGCTAAATCGTTGCTGAATTACTTCAAGGCAAAAATGAAAGGCAGAAATTAAATGCATTGAATGCTTTGCAAACTATTGGTTCTCATGTTTGGAAGTATGTTTTAGTTGGTGTCCATTACAGAACTGGGACAAAAACTGCACATGATTGAGGAAACCGAGTTAGTATTGCCAAATGAGAGAAGTGATGGGAAACAGGGTGGAAAGGAGGAAATGCAGGTGCATCCCCATACGTGTTAGCTGGTGCAGCAACCAAGCTGTGAGACTGCTAACTCACTAAGAGTGAATTTTTAAAAACTCAGCCCAATAATTTCAGGTTGGATATCAGGGAAAATGTCTCCTTCAAAAGAGTGGTTGGGCACTGGCACAGGCTGCCCAGGGAGGGGCACCATCCCTGGAGGTGATCTGGAATTGTGGCACTGAGGGTCAGTGGCACAGCTGGGGTTGGACTTGAGGATCTTTCCCAACCTTCATGATTCTATGAGTCCAACTCCTTCAAAATTCCCTCCTGCCCCATTACAACAAACAGCTCCTAAGCAGGACTGGCACAGCTGTACCAAACATTTTACTAACCATGAACGTTAACTGCATCCCTCAGCATTCAAAGCCCTGTAAGGACTCACACAAGCCGAGTCCTTTAGCACAACTTGGTCTCCACTACTCCAAAAAAATGAGGAGTTGCCCTCGGGGAGCTCAGCCCGAGGGGAAAAGTTGGGACTGTGGGGAAAGCAGAGAGATGGTGTGAGCACCCACAAACTCCTCTTGAGCCAACAAAGCCCTCCAGAAATGCAAAGAAACTTGTGACGTTCTGCATGGTACAGCCCATGCATTCCCCGTGCTCCACAAAACAAAAACCTATGCTGTGCAAAACTCCAGTAGGGCTCTGGGGGAAGTGCCAGCTCCCCTGCATCTCTCCCCTTCTTGGAAGGAGGATTTCCGTAGGAAAGCAAATTAAAAAATGAAAGCGTCAGGAGCAGCTGCTGTTTTTAAAGAATAAAGGGGGGAAAAAAAGGAGTAGCTGAATTTCATATTGCTTGCTTTGTTCTTTCCTGAAGTATATGGCAAAGAAAGCCAAAGGAGATCGTAAGATGCTTTGGCTCCATCTTCTTTATGAAATAAATCACAGCCTCTCCTCACGTTAATGCTGAAAGATTCACACACCAGAGATAGTATATAAAAGCGCTGTAGAAACTCACTACACTTCAAAAGTAAAACAAACCCACCAAACAGAACATGCACAAGCTTCTTTATGAACCGCTTAGACGGCAAACAAAACCCATCACCCTGCAAACCTGCTAAGACAAACAACGTGCCATTCTTCCTACAAGTTTTACCTAAAAGCACCATGGGGAGCTGCATTCCTTGCTGTGACTGTGGCAGAATTTCTTTCAGGGCAAAGAACTGACTCCAGCTTTCAGCACTGCACGCACTCGAGAGAAATAGCAATTTCCAGTTTGCTTTCTTGCTTTTAATTGCAAAGCATTCGCCCACATCTGTGCGACGATCCTTCAGCTTCCTCCATCAGCTTGTCCTAAAACATGCATATTTTCCCAACTTCACGCATGCAATATTATCTAGAAACTCAGAACAAATACAGCCCCTTCCTAGAAGCAAAAATGGTACTAATTATTGCATCATGATGGGAAACAGCACTGCAGATGCCCTCAGCAGCCCATCACACAGCCCTGCTCTCCCCATCTGCTCATGTGGCCACCAGGATATATTTTCCTATTTTTCTCCCCAGTAGCCACGGAAGCCATCTCTAATCAATAAGATACTCCTTAGCAAGACCAAATGATTCAAGGGGAAGCCATGACCTGTCTGCTATGCCAATGAGTCAGTCCCTTCCCTTCCTAGAAATATAACTAACATCAGCAAATATGACAAAATGATGTACTGACAGCGCTGCCACGTTAGTGATGTGAGGGCAGGAAGCTGGGAAGCAGCGCTGTCCTCCAGTCAGAGCGCAAAGAAACTTATAGCTCGTGCCTCAACGTAGAGCTGCTCTTGCCCTGCTGCCCCACAAAAGCAGCAGTGTGCCCCTGACCATTCTGCTGCGCGCTGCTTTCACAGGCACACTGCTTCCTGCAGAAGTGCTGGGTGCTGCACGCTGCCTGTGCTGATGTCTCAAGGATGGAGACGTCCTGCCTTTCTCCTGCCTCGCTCTCTTGTCTTTGGGAAGGAGACTCAGGCATTTTCACCCAGAAATGACCATGCAGAGGGAAGCTCTTATTTGAGCTAAAAAGTTAACACGGAAAGGATGGCTGTTGACAAGCAGCACCTTCAGATGTAGGGAGGCAGACCAACGCTTTCCTGCCCTGTGAGAAATAACCTAGAGCAAAATCCCTGTGTCAGTGTCACATGAGATGAATGCACTTCTCTAACTGTTATGCACTGCAGAATGACACGCCAGCCACCAGCTGCAAACTATACGCAGCAAATCACCCACAGATTTGGTTTACTGTTAATTTTTCCTTTTTTCCCCTCCATTTTCCTAGCACTGTCAGTGTCTGCAGTGCTCCTGGTCAGGCCCTGGCAGACTAATGATGGGATTGTCACGTACTCAATGGCCATCTAAAGAAACAGATTCAAATTGTTTCTAGGAAATAAACACTCTGACAGTTGTTGCCTTCTGCAATAGACAAACACATTAGCCTGACTCTCTGGCTGTTAAAACAGGAAATCCAAAGTGCACAACAGTTGTAAAAAGGAGCTTTTATGGGGACTGTGCTAGTACGAACAGCAATCTATGCCAACCTCCCCTCTATCTAA